TCAGTGCTTCTATTCTTCAGTCCTGTTGCCATAGAAGCTGTTTAAGTTCACGTCTGTCAAGTTTTATATTCCTGAGAGGATTAATTCACTCTTCAAAGCCCATGTTACACAAAAAGAGCTGCTACTTTTTTGTTCTCTTTGACTTTATTTCTATTCTTTCTTTGTTGTTTTTGGCTGTAATCACCTTCACCCTTTCCTCCAGCCTAAAACATCCTCCAGCAAAGACCAAGCCAAACATCAAACATATGGAGATGGGTCCCCAGCCGTCACTGCTGCTGACACTTTGTCTCAGAGGCGATGAGCGATGGGTCAAATGCAGTGAATATATTTCCCTACAGAGACAATAAAGCTCCTTCTAATCTAAACTATTGGCTGAGATGTCTGATCTCTGCAGCAGTCGTCAGTGCTCACTTTGCATCGAAGGGGTTTTATCATTTGAAACGTTACAATCTTTGAAAAATGTGTTTAGAGCTTGTGAGATTGAAACACTAGAGCCGTATTGATGGGAATCTAAACAGCCGCCGGTGAAACAGTGACTTTATGGTGTTATTTTTAACAGTTAGAACATAAGCAGCAAACAATCGATCTGATACCGATATGAACTGTTCCTGTGTTTTAATGCATCAAAACTCCACTATTGCGATAAATAAATTCAAAGTCAGAATGAGCTGTGGTACCTCCCTTTAAACCACAAAAAAATAACTCTTCATTAAAATCTAACTAGTTTGCGACTTTCAAGGCAGTTTGGTTTGGCATTATGTTCTATCACATTCAGATCTGAATTATCAGAAGTGAAAAAGAGAGGACTTTTGTTTATCCAATTAGCTCTCAGCCCAAAGTGTCAAATAGTGACTCAGTAAGTTATTTCTTACAAATAGCAAACAATAACTAATAAGACTCTTTATGGTCAAACACACACATTGTTATGTTCATGAAACACAAAAGTCAGGAACAACCAGCTTTCACAGCCGCCAAGAGGGCAGACTGACGTAAACTGGATGCCTTTCTGTGCATTCGGCCTTCATGGATGGACTATATCCCACAGTGGGGCGGCTGTGGAGCAAAATATATTGTGTTCTTAGACCTCACACTTCGCACACATCAGGTCTTACCTGGAGGATAGGAAGTACTTTGTGGAGATTGGAGACTGCGTCTCAGATCGTGTGGCCCTGACCTGTGGAGTACCACAGGGATCGATCCTGGGACCTCTCCTATTTAATCTCTATATGCTGCCGTTAGGTCAGTTAATACAAAGAAACAAAGTGTCCTACCACAATTACGCTGACGACACTCAGATCTATGTCTCACTGACTGCAGGAGAACATGGACCACTGGATTTGCTCCTTCACTGTATCCAACAGATCAGTGACTGGATGCAAAATAATTTCCTCCAGCTAAATGCAGACAAAACCGAAATCATTGTCTTTGGTCCCCAGAAACAAAGAGAGGGCGTCATTTGTCAACTTAAGTCTCTCTCCCTACTTCCTTCAGACAAGGTCAGAAATTTGGGGGTAATACTGGACTCAGACCTAAATTTCAATAGCCACATAAAATCAATAACATCAACAGCTTTTTACCATCTGAAGAACATTGCCAAAGTTAGAAATATAGTGTCCAGGGCAGACTTGGAGATTCTTGTCCATGCATTTGTCTCCAGCAGGCTAGACTACTGCAATGGCCTGCTTACAGGTCTGTCCAAACAGACCTGTAAGCAGCTGCAGTACATCCAAAATGCAGCAGCTAGAGTCCTGACAGGAACCAGGAAGTATGACCATATTAGTCCGGTCCTCAGGTCTCTGCACTGGCTTCCTGTGGCTCAGAGAATAGATTTTAAAACAGCTCTGCTTGTGTACAAGTCTCTCCATGGCCTTGCACCAGAATACATTAGTGACATGTTGGTGTCATATGAACCGGCTCGGACTCTGAGGAGCACAGGGACTGGCCTCCTGCTGGTGCCCAGAGTGAGAACCAAACATGGGGAGGCTGCGTTTCAGATCCATGCAGCTAAGATCTGGAACAATCTCCCTGAAAATGTGAGGGAGGCGTCTACTCTGTCAATGTTCAAATCCAGGTTAAAGACTGTTCTGTTTGCCTGTGCATACAACTGAAGGATTTTATCTCCATTTCTAATGCACTGTTGTCATTTATTTATTTATTTTTTTAAATTTCTTGTGTAATTTTGAAAGTTTTAATGGTTTTATTCTTTTGTGTGATTTTAATGTTTTAATTGTGTTTTAATCTTTTGTGTGATTTTAATGTTTTAATTGTGTTTTAATCTTTTGTGTGATTTTAATGTTTTAATTGTGATTCTGGTGTTTGTTTTATGTGATGATTTGTGATGTGGACTGTGAAGCGCTTTGTGTTGCCCTGTGTATGAAAGGCGCTCAAATAAACTTTGATTGATTGATTGATCACATAAAGTGATGAAAAGCAAGTTAAAAAGTGCTCACATTTGGCAAAATGTATCTTAATTGGAACACATTTTGACTACCTTAAAACAAGATTTGCCAATGGGACAGAGCAGAATTCTCTTGTTTTAACAAGGCAAAAGAAATGTCTCCATTGGAATTAAAAAAATGAAGCAACAGTCCTTGAAATAAGATTGAATGGCTTTTTCCCATTTGCAAATCTTGTTTTAAGGCAGTCAGAATGTCTTCAAATTAAGATAAAAAGCACTCGATTCAAGCAACATTTACTTGATATTTTATATATTTTTTTGCAGTGTAGGTTGTTATCCTCCTATAGTCTTAAAATATGTCTTTGTCTCCTACTTTCAAAAAGCACACCTTTTCTGCGATGGAACATAATAAAAAACCTTCTCTAAATGGAAAAAAGCCTGTTCCTGCTTCTTTTTGCCAAATTGTATGTTTTTAAGCCCATTAGTGTCTTTCCAATAGGTTATGGCGTCGGCCTACATGCGGGTCTAAATTTAATATTACAGTCATTTGTCGAAATTCCCCGTGAATCGAATCATTCCTCTCCAACGCGCGAGGAAGAGTCAGATGAAGATGCTCTATTTCACACTGTGTAAATTTACCGCCATTGTACTTACTGCTAAATGAGCTGCATTCACAGACACGCTCAAAAACCTTTACTCAAATGACAGATGCGTCGACGAGGGGAAAGCCTAATGCCTGTTTTGTATCAAGATGTAAATTATTTAGAAGAAGCGAAAGCAGGTGTGACAAGACCCAGCGTGATTTTGTTGGAATAATGGTTTATGCTTTATTTTTCTTCCAGGTACAAGAGTGCTCAATCCTCTCTCATTTGCATGCATGGGGCTGAAGACACAGAACCTGGCAGTCTTCAAAGGCCGTCTCCCAGGTAAAAAGAGCAAAAAGCAGGATTTTCACATCATCATTGACGCTTCATCAGCTAGATTCACACGGGGCAAGAGTTGGACGTGTTTACAAATGCGAGCCAGCGTCGCTAATAGCTGCGAGGAAATGTTGCTTGAATTCAAAGCCAATCTTTTGGAATTTCTCACTTAGCTCACCTTGATATGGGTGATTCTGAGCAGTCTTGTGAGGTAACGGTGATAGGGAATCAGAGAGAAGCAGAGATGAGTTGAAAGAGCTAGGGAGCCTATTTATTTGTTTATTTATTATGTTCTTTTCGATATTACTTTGTGTTTGGCTCAATAAGAAAGAGTTTTGTAAAAGTAAAAATATGTGAACAAACTCGACCACATCATGCTACTTTTAGCTTTCATGACCAATACTATACTTTTAAATGTTTGTAACCATTATAGTCTGGCCCAGGGGTTCCTCTCAATCAATCAATCAATCTTTATTTATAGAGTGCTTTTCCTACACAAAGCGCCTCACAGTCCACACAAATCATACACAAAAGTCACAAATCATCAAATCATCTCTCAAGTGGGAGCATCTTTTAATCTTCTTAGATACAGATTAAAAGATGCTTTATTCGTCCCACAGTGGGGAAATTTCAGTGTTGCATCACCAGTTTCAGAAGGAACGAGGAGCACACAGCAAAATATAAGTATAACTCTAGTAAATTAAAATAGAATCTCCAACTTCATCATAATAAAGACATAATCTAATTTCCATAGAATGTATTTTAGTCAAGTGTTTGAAAAGAGGTCCCTGAATGAAAGGTTTGCAAACACATGGTTAAGATCACCTGAATGAAATGTGACTTTTACAGTTGAGTTCATGTATTGTAAAACTATTTCTAATAAGATTTAAATAAGTGATTTTATGAGAAAAACATTGAGATTATAATTCTTGATTTGAGTTATTGTTGTGTATTATTCACTTCCACACTGACAACTTCAAGTTAGTTGCATTGTGCCATCTGTCAAATCTGAACTTTATGTCAATGTGGGACTACAAGACATGTACTGCATTAATTACAATGTATTGTGAAAACAGTCACAACTAAAACAGGAAGAATATGTCAATGCAAGTCAAAATCTTCAAAATGAATAATACATTTATTGAAAACAATGCAACTTCTGTTATACAACTCAATTAAATAGTATGAACAAATAAACAGTATATACAATCAGCTGTACAACTTTACAAAAATGCCTATTCATAAATAAATCCAGTACTAAATTACAATTTTTGATCATTAAAATGTTTACTTTGCCATTTAATGTTTTAGAATGTCAAATATCATAAAAAGAACATAGTAAACAAGTATCAAAGGTAAACATGGGCCTGCCATATCCCTGTGGTACCACCAGAGTCTATATATGTGTATCCAAATTTGAAAATTACTGGCTGCAAACACGGCCATGTGATTGCAAAGGACAAAACGTCACTCGAGAAGCTGCCTCAACAAATTAACTGACAATACCTCTGTTTAAAAAGACAGGACCTTTCAGACAGAGGGGGCGGAGTTACATGTTTATGCCAGAAGTGACTAATTACCATAACTAGATCTAAAAACAACCCCAGGTCATTTTTTTTTCTTTTTTGATGAGGGAACAATACTGTCACATGATTAAAAGCTGCATAATATGTCTGTCTTTTTTAAAACATGGTGGCCACCTCATAGGCAGATGCAACAGTCACGATGTTGGGTCCGTGCGTGTGCGTAGTGCGGTGTGGCTGGCTGAAGTAAGACGGCAGAGTCCCGGTGTGTGCAAAGGTGTGACTGCTGCTCCGGGACTTGGGCCGATTGGTGGCATAGGCGGCCGTGGGGAAGCCCTGGGGATGGCAGAAGACAGGAGCCGGGGGGAAGCCCATTGTAGTGTATGAGTCTCTGGCTGCTCTCATGCTCTGGGAGGCGGGTGCGGTGCAATACGAAGGCTGGCTTTCCCCACACAGGCTGCTGGCTCCGCTGGATATGCCTGAAAAAAAAACATAGGAACATGGAGGTAAGTTCTGGTGCAAAAAAAACAAAACAAAAAACAGTTTTGGCCTTATTTTGGTTGACAATTTTTGTATTTATCATTTATTCAATTCAAAGCTGGGGTACCTTTTTTGTATTTTTTGCATTTTTTTTGTAGTTTGTCTCAACAGATACATAGAAGTAAATTTTTGTGGACTAATCAGACGTGCTGCCTCCATCTGATAATAAAACATGTGATCTTTTGCATTTTAAAAAACAAGCCCTGTAAGTCACTTTTTGATGTTTTGAGTTGAGACTGATAGGCGGAGTAATTGGGTGGTCCACTCTTTTTTCCTTTAGTTTTTGACTGAAAAAAATTAAGTTTAAGAGATCCTGTATTCGTCCCACAGTGGGGAGAAGTCAGTGTTGCATTGCAAGTTACAGACAGTAGGAATGAGGAGCACACAACATAAAATCTCCATCTCTAACAGTATAAAAGCAGTATAAATCACCTATCTTTAGCTAATAATAAGGAAAGATGTCTAAAATCTCCAAAAAGATGTGACATGGATCAAAAGTGCATGCATGTGAAAACTAGTGATTGTACCAAGCTGTTTTAGAACCAGGCTCTAGTTACATGTATTTACGACATAGTTCTGTCTTGTTCTGGGTTGATAGTTACATACTCAAAGTTTTTTTAAGGAGGGACGTGAGATTCAAATATCTTTTTCCCAAGGGTGTGTTTTGCAGAGATGAACTAACACCACAACCCATACACCAACATGTATTCTAAAAATATATCACAGTTAGAAAAAGTATAATGACATTTTAGCAGCAGAGTTACAAACAGCGACAGGCCTAAGATTGCATTTCTCGATGGATGTCAAAATGTGCCACAGCTGATACTGGCAGTACATACTTCTAAAACCATTCCAAAATCGGGTGTTGAAACAGGCACAAATTGACAGTGCCCTACATGTGGCGATGACCCACTTTGGTTTGACCCACTAGGCTCAGGAATCATTGCACTCCATGATGGCAACACATGCTGCTCATTGAAATGCTAATTTAAAACATTAGTATCAGCAACTGTTCCGTTTTTAATTTAGATGTACTGTGTCCCCAAGATTTAAGGTGGTATTGCACGTCTTTCTTTATGGGGTCCGCTACCTGTTTGTTACTATAGATATGTTTTAGCATGGCTTGAATGTTCCTCAGTATGGTATAAACTTATGTAGTTTATAAGTGCTGGTATCTTAGCCTGGTGGTAGTCACTAGCTCGTAGATGGAAAGTCAAATGTCGTACTGCGGAATATTGCAGGCAAAACAACAACATTTAAAGCAACATTTTTCTTTTTCTTTGTTCCAACTGATTTGTAAAGGTAAAACATGAACAAATCAGATTACAACTGGCTTCTTAATCTTATGAGAAAACCATCTTTTGCATACAATTTTTTGATACTTTGTGGGTGGTCCTCTATTGTTTAACTTTCTTGTCTGAAAAATCTGATCCAAAAATGTGACAAGGGGGAAAAATACATGCATAGTGATACATACTTACATGTTATAGAACCTAATGATTTAATTAAAACGTTATGTTAAATATAGTTCTATATATTTGCGTTTTGAAAGTTAGGTACCCCAGCTATAATTGTGGACCGGGAATGTCGCACAACACACTTTTCACCCATAACATTGTGCACGCTTCAGTTTATTGTTGAGATAACGTAGATGTTATTGCTTTTGTGTGTCAACTCACTTTTCATTCTGGGATGGAAGGTGCTGAAATTCCTCCTGCCGTCACTGCCGCTGGTGTCGGAGTCGCTGTCGTTGAAGTCGCTGTCTCCTTTGCCGCTGTCCTTTATGCTCTGCTGGTCAGTGTGTCCAATACCGCTGCAACACAATCAGCATGTATTGTATGAGCCACCACGGCAGCACATTAACTTGATTATTGATGTTTCTATCCATGGTACAAGGCGCTGGACCTTCTCCGCTCTTTTGACCTGGACTCCAATCAAAGCCTCGCACGTGCCCAAAGCTTGCTAACGCGAGCTGGATACAGAGAATTGCTAATGGAGGGAATTCCTTTGATACCGTGGACAGGTTCAGACCATACATGTGTTTGCGAGTCGTGACACATAAGGTCACAACTTCAACATTTCGAAATAACAATGAGTATGTCTTTTTTTTTTTTGTGATTCATATGTGTGTGGGTCCAAAAACAACCTGAAACCAAACCATAGAAAACTGGATCTGAGATTGGTCTTAACGAAGACAGAATGGGTTGTTTTCCATATCCTTATTATTGCTCTAAATATGTTTTTACAATTGTATTTAAACATATACATTGTTTTATTTCCTATAATAACTCTGGTAGGTTACATTTGTATTAAGAAACTAGTTTTGCTGTATACATTGGGAATTATCATAATCTTTTTTATTGACCTTTTTTGAACATATCATTATAATGGAATGAAAACTAAGAATAATAATAATCCAAAATTAGAACACTGTTTTGACTCCGATGCAGGTGAAATTCAGAAAATATGTTTATTTCTGTATCTCAACTTGAAATATGATTTGATTTCTAATGTATTATTCTATGTTTATATGTGTTTTTACAGGCTGTGTCCCAATTAACATTATAACAAAGAAAAGCTTGAGGTGAATCATTAAAATGAGTCTGTAATATATTAGTTTCACATTGTAAGTTGAGTTAAAGAAATTGAACTTTTCAACAATATTGTAATATTCCAAGTTTCACCTGCATGCTTAATACAACACGCAATCCCCTACTGAACCCTCCACCACATTTTTAGACCCACTATGCAAATGAACAAGCACTATCTTCACATTCACTTTTCTCACCTCACTTGAAGGCTGTATTTGTCGCCTTGCCACACAGATGCCGGCTGGAAATGCTTGGAGGGTAGGAACATCTGAAAGAACAAACAAAACGAGAGCAAAGGATTTATTTTTTTGTATATTTGGCACAAGGATCAAGGCAACACTTGGCAACATCACATGAATATGAAAATAGTTTTGGGGCAAAAAAACAACAGCTCACCTTTGTCTCCAAATCACCGCTCTTCTCCTCTTCGTACAAGCAGCTCTCCTCCAGGGACGAGGACGTGCGGCCGTGGTAGAAGCTCTGATGACCCGTGTAGATGTTAGAGGAGAGAATCTCACTCGGAAGGCTAGTAAACAGTGCGTCACTTTTCGGAGGCCCGTTTCTAGAGCTGCAGCTGAGTTTGCAAGTGACCGCCACTGCTACTATTGCAATCAACAGGAATGCACAGCCGCCACTTAGGATTATAATAATAATAAGTGAGCTGTCCCAATCTATGCCCTCGTCGTTTGACTGAATCACAATGACGACTTGATCCTCCGAGGCCTCCATATCCGACACGATGAATCGAATAAAAGCAGTGCTGGAGAGTGGAGACCGACCATTGTCTGTCACCTTCACTTGCATTTCCAGCACGTCCCCAATCTCTGCGGTCAGGTATTGTTTTAAGACAATTTCCCCAGTGTTTTTGTTGATGGTGAATAGCTCGGAGTCACCTTGGACGATCTGATAGGAGAGCTGGCCATTCACGTCCTCGTCCTCATCGAAGGCAGCCACTCGAAGCGCCAAAAACCCAGTAGGGGCCTTCAACGGCAGGCCAATGTCAGCAGAGCCATTGATGAATATGGGATAGGTGAAGTAAGGTGAGTTGTCGTTCTGGTCCACTACTTTGATGCGGATTGTGGCGGTGCTGGAGAGGGAGGGTGAGCCGCTGTCTTCGGCCTGGATCACAACTTCGATTTGTTTTTCAGATTCGTAGTCAAATGATCTCAGCGTGTATACAGAGCCGGTGTTGGAGTCCACCGACACATAGGTGGACACTGGGGATCCGCCTGGTACTTCCGCATCTATAAGTGTGTAGGAAACTTTTGCATTCTTGGCTACATCTGGGTCACGGGCCACCACAGTCATCACATACGACCCGGGGATGTTATTTTCAATCACCCCAACTTCATAGAGAGCTTTGCTGAACAGTGGCGCATTGTCATTCTCGTCTGTAACACGGATTGTATATTGTCTCACTGTTTTAAACGGGGGACTGCCCAGGTCTTCAGCCACCACAGTCAAGTTGTACTCTGGAATCCTCTCTCTGTCCAGTGTGGTGGTGGTTGTGATCATGAAAGTGTCCCCGTAGGCTTGCTGCAGGGTGAAATGATCGTGCCCGAGGAGAGAGACGCTCACGTAGCCATTAGAGCCAGAATCGCTGTCCATGGTGCTGATCAGGGCAACGAAGCTCTCCGCGGCTGCAGCTTCAGTGATGTACGCCACGCCGTCGCTTGTGGACGTCATGGGCTTGATAGTGATCTCTGGCGCGTTGTCGTTCACGTCCACCACGTCAATCAGCACGCTGCAAGTGGAGGGGACAGAGTTTTCCCCCAGGTCTGACGCTTGGATGTGCAACTCGAATGACTTTCTCTTCTCGTAGTCAACCATATACTTTAAGATCACGTCTCCGGTGTATGAATCCACGTGGAAATGTTTACGCGCCTCGGCTGGGGATGCGTCTGCGAGCGCGTACGTCACTTCTCCATTTGCGCCGTCATCTGGATCAAAAGCGTGCACGCGTAAAACTCTATGGCCCACCGGGGAGTCCTCGTTCAGCTCCACTTTGAGAGACGCGAACTCGAAAGTTGGCCTGTTGTCGTTAAAGTCCAAAACTTTGACAAGTACAGTCACAGAGCCAGATTTAGGAGGCGCACCACCGTCACACGCAGTCACTTCAAGCACATAAACATCCTCAGCTTCTCTGTCCAGCTCTTTCACCAGCACCAACTCTGCAAACTTTACGCCATCGTCTCCATCGCGCACCTCTATGGCAAAGTGAGCAGACGGCGCGCTCAGGTTATAACTTTCAATGTAGTTCACCCCGACGTCTTGATCCAACGCGATGTCTAGCGGGAACCTGGAGTGGATTGGTACGTTCTCAACTATCTCTAAGCGAGTTTCGTTGCGTGGGAAAACAGGAGCGTGGTCGTTTATGTCTTTCACCTCAATCTCCACGTGGATGAGTTGGAATTTCTCTTTGGTGAAGGCGACGACGTCAAAGGAGAGAAGGCAAAGCTGGTGCGTCCTGGGGCAAAGCTGCTCTCTGTCGATCCGCTCCGACACGCTCAAAAGTCCGTCTATTTCCCTCATATGAATTACAGATGTGTTGCTTTCTTGCATGAAGCGGAACGAAGTGTCTGGGTCCTCAGCCGGGTCGATCTTCAAATCCTCAGACAAGTTTCCTATTTGCGTTCCCGGAGCATCCTCTTCGTACGTAAAGTATTTAGTTGTAGTGCAGCGCGCGTAGAGACATAAAGTTATAAAGTAGAGTAGTCCTCCGATTCTGACTCGTCCCATGTTGAGAGTGGTTGAAAAGTTTGTTTAAAAAACTCATAAATGGTGCACAAAGTTGTCTGACTGGCGGAACGTCAACTGTGATCTCGTCTTTGACCTGCGTGGCACTTTAAACCCTGCTGTATGCAAATGTGATGTCCGCTCTGACCAATGGCCTCGCAGCGCCTAAGCCAAATGGACGCGTTTGTCTGTTTTAACACCTAGGTGCAAATGGCTTCGCAGATAAACTTTTTTTGTTAAGCCCTAATCAGACAGATAACAGTTTGACTTAAAGAAATCTGGCAATTAATTAAACTGGGGTGGGACAGACTGGGGCCATAGACGCAGGACTTGAATGGAGAAATTAGGAAACTATAGGAGACATGTTGAATCAGGTTGAAGATTGAAATTTTATTGTTGCTCACTTCGTTATCAGTTCATACATGGAATAGATGTTTTATTCTGTGTATTTATTTAACATCTCTGTACTTAAAATTCGACAACATTGCTACACTTTGATTAATAGTGCATTAATGTGATATTTTTAATTGGTTCCTTTTCATTTTGGATTTAAACTCTATGTGAAATATTCTGATGTGAGACTGAATGTTAAGCATGTTATAAAAATTTGCTGGGTGAAGTTATACTTTATTTTTCCGTAGGGAAATTAGCCCCCTGCATTTGACCCATCCTTCATTGCTGGACCTCAGAGCAGTGGTACAGTGCCTGGGGACTCATCTCCAGATATTAAGGCTTGGTCAGTTTTTACTGGTATAGACATAACTGCATCACCCTACGCAGACAAGGGGAGAACATGCAGACTCCACTAAGAAAGGCCCTGTTCTGACCAGGATTCAAACTCGGGACCTTCTATGAGAAGTGACCCTGCCATTGTGGTTTCAAGATGAGAGAAAATACATACTTTTGAGTACAGGGGGATAAATCATTGTAACCATTATCAATTGAAAATACAAAACATGTTTAAATGGCAATACACTGCTTCACACAACCACACAACAATAAGTGGACACAAGTTTTTGGCTAATCATTCATTATCATGTTGCCAAATATATATATATATATATACAAATATTTTGCCTTGGTGTGAAAGCTTTCAAGCACATGTGTAGCTTAATGTTTTAAAGGTGAAACAGGCAACTTTTCGGACAGGGTCTGCGACTTGCTGTTTGCTATAGAGAAATATCATTTATTTTACTGTAATGCTCTGTACCTCAGCATGATGAAAGAAAAAAAAAACTGCCTTCCTGTAAAAGATTCAGGCAAAACAGAAATATTAAAATAAGTTGCAACAAAATTCCTCTTTCTCAGTAATTTCCTGCTAAAACGCTTAATATAGACTTAATATCTAATTGTCCTTTTTGATGGCTACTATTACTATTTTTTTAACCATAGATGAGGAAGAAAATGTATTAGAACTGCTTAAAAGAAGACCAGAGCAACAGTAAAGGCTGAACGCTGAAAGAAAAACCACTGGTGCTTTTTCAGCCTTTCATCTTTTCTGTGTTGTCGGGGCACGCCACACATGCTGTTTCCGAATACACATCGATGCTCTCAAACTGGGTTAGCTCTAGCACTACTTTACTTCGAAACATTGACTTATTGACTTGCAAAGCCCTAATAGAAAAAAAGGCACGTTTTGACAGCAGCACACTCTTTAAATTGAGTTGTTGTTATGCTTGTGCAAACTCCACACCGCGGGGTTGAGGCAAATCCACAAACTCATTTTCTAACAATAATAAATATTTTCCATTTACTGTCAGTCAAGAAGTGACATTTCTGGAAATTGGCTCCTCTGACTACACCATACGTGCACACATGTTCAGTTATAATTAACAGACGGCTCATTTAAACAAGTTTCTTTCTGTTCTGCATTCACATTTAGATATTCTTTATCCATCCCACAGTGGGGAAATGTCAGTGTTGCATCACAGTCGGAATGAGTTGCACACAACTGTGAGATTTCATAACACTTTTAAGCAACATAAGATACATCAATAATAACTCCATACTAAAACAAAATAATAAAAAAATCTCTGACTCTAGAATGAAGATGAAACTAGTATACAATCTCTATCTTTTGCATAATGAGTACAAAAAACTCTGACTTTAGCATAATAAGGAAGTATAAAATCTCTACCTTTGGCTACTCCACCTCTGCTGCTGTGACCTGGAGTGCTGTTACATTTAATTATCACTATTGTTAGCTTTTTAGAATGGTACGTTTATGTGTTTTGTTTGTGTGGATGGATGTGTTTTTGCTGCTCCTGGACACCTGAATTTCTCCTTCAATCAATAAAGTATCTATCTATCTTTCTATCTATCTAATAAGATGCAAGTATACAGTAGAGTAGTATTCATTTAGAGCTGTGTGTAAATTATACATGGCCTTCAAAAATGATTATGGCCTGGATCTAGCCTATTTTAACTCTGGCTTCCTGTCTCAACACATCACCAGCGCAACATTATAAATCTGGGTCACCATTACTTTTGTAGAGACACATTATCACATTAGTGTAGCTGAAATGAATTGATCTTAATATGGGCATCACTTTTAAAAAAGCAGTCGCTGGGGGCCGGAGCTGTATGCATCTATTGACGCCTTTTAACAATTTCATCATGCGGCCGCTGCAGGCATACATTAGTAGCTGTATTTTGTTCTTAGAAATGACAGGGATTTGGAACAGCAAGTGTGGTTTGTCAGAAATCATTAGCACTGGATAAATAGATTAGTGGGAACATGTGAAATAGCCTGAAGTTAGTCTATGGTGTGGCCTGTTTACTCCAAATCCAATTTGACCTTAGATGGAAAGCATAAACTCAAATGTCAGAAGTCAATGTTAGCCTGGATGTTATAGCCTCGCTGGTGCCAATGCTCACAAACCACGACTAATGAGCGCACATGGGGAATACTTTTACTTCACACCTTCCTGCTGTGCTTCACCAACGTAATGGCTTTGATTGCACCTCCGGAAAGGGCATTTTTGTGTGGAGTTTGCATGTTCTCCCCGCGTCTGATGAGGAAGAATATTGCAACATGGTTAAAATGGTTAATAAAGGTATATGGAGAGGTATAAACTCATATAATGCATAATATAATTGACAAAATAAAATACAGTTCTATAATGGAATCAAACATACATACATAAAATCATTGACGACAAAAAGTTCTGTGCCAAAATATGCAACAAGGGGAGTCAGTCAGCCCCTCTACCTACTAAAAGAGAAGAGTTTTATTCCCACCGGGAGAACTTCCTTTGATGTTCAGTTCCGCTCTGGGGAAGTCTGAGCACCTCGCTGAAGCTATAAGTGTTATTTATTTTCTAATCTGCTGTCGGTGAATCAACAAATCTTGGACGCGCTTTGATTCGTGGATTCTCTTGTCGTTTTATACCATCTCGCCAACGGAAGCCTAAACAAATCAAACTTGGGACAAAACGAAACAAAACACAGTCTGAAGGATAAAGTCTTCAAGGACACAGTGTTCCTCTGTCATGTCTTTATTCTTTTTTGTACCAGTTTTTATATCTTTCTGTGTGTGTCTTGAAATGATATATTTTCTACCGCTGCCTTGGTCGCTTTGCTATAGGACAATCTGGAGGACCCTTTTTTTCAATAACCATACGTCATTTTGTTTGCCTCAACATAAAAAAAACAGTCTTGTACATGTTGCAGCTGGTGAACAAATTAGAATATATCATGCTTTTAGAAAACATATTTATCTTTAATAACACAGAGCCCTGTCGCTATTCCAAGCTTTGGCAGTGGTGTTCTCACTGAAAAAGCTGATTGAAAGATGTGACAGAGGCCAACAAATTACAAATTAAACTATGATAGTAGCAAACTGTCTTGAGAGCTATAGGAACTGGGTATATGGATTTAATTAAAATGCTCCATGCATTTTCTGTGGTATGAAAATTATGTACTCCAGATTTACACAATAGCAAAACTTGATTAGACTTCCACATACTTCATATTGCCAAGCCGTTCACAGAGAAAAGCAACAATGGCATACAATACACATGAAGGACGGAGTCGTTCGATGGCTTCACCTAAGTATTATTCTTTCACAAATATGCAGCCTTAGAATCATTCCATATTAAAATGAAGAGATCCTTTGAGGAAATTGTTATTAGACAGGAGAAAAAATCACGTCAGACCCTTTCACGATGAGCTTCTCCCATGGGGCCGTCGCTACAGAGTGCCAGTTAAAAAAAAGAAAAGAGCCCGTATACAAACTCATTCCTACCCAGATCTGTGAATCTCCTGAATGCAAGTAATGGAGCAGATTGGTGATGGCTTGTTCACTGAAAAAAGTTGCAAAAAGTAAATAAAAAATAGCTACTATTGTAATGTATTTTTTTCAAGCAAAATTATCGGCCAGTGGATCATGATATTCCCACGAGTTAAGATTTATTGAAACAAGAAAAAAAAATCTTCTGCCTACATGAGTAAGAAAAAACGGTGTGACAAATTACCTCCGGAATGCAATAAATTAATCTCGAAACTTAATTCGTCCCACTGGATGAAATTGTCAGTGTTGCATCACAATTTACAGAACAGTAGGAAGGAGCACACAAAACAAAACCAAAAATAGGTGCGTATTAAATAGAGCATAACTCTATACCTTTCATTATTCTGAATAATGTATTTCTTATAGAGTCCATATACGCTTGTCATTTCCTCTCAATATCTCAGCGTCCAAATTGCACGTGTGGGATTCTGAAAGCACCAGTTAAGAGCAGCCACAGAGCCAGACAATCATGTCATTTGATTAGCGTGGTGTTGGAGGACACCCGCAGAGTTAATTACACATACATTATCAGACTAGCTCTCTAGCTGCAAGACCTGCCTGTGCAATCAACATCATCTCCATTGTCACTGATATTCAACTGCTGTTTGTTTATTCCCAGGGTGTCCAAAGTGTGGACAGGGGGACACGATAAAGGTTTAGAGTTTTATATATATTGTCTTATAATTAAAGTCCACCATACGAGGATAGGTAT